TAAGCAGGGATTGAACCTGTGAACTTGGTGTTACTAGCACCGTGTTCTAACCAACTGAGCTTGTGCTGTCTGCTGGTATAGCCAGACACATGGACATGGCTGAAGGACACCAGATCATTTGGTAAAAAGAGAAATGGTATAGAGTAGTCCAAAGGAGTGTTATTAGGAAAAAAACACACTGAACAGAGTTAATTGGGTACTGGTGCATTTCCTAACTGGACTGGTTATTGGATTGGACTATCATGCTCTAAAAGGCACATCAGAATCTAAACCCAGAAGAAAAATGATCCTGCAGGACCCTTTCCTCTGTATCCTGCACTCCAACAGCCTTTGTCAACTTCCAAGTGTCACGACACTTGAGAACACATACTCCATCAAAGCGGGAGAGAAGTCATGTTATCTAACAGCTGTCCTCAGCCTTGCTATTTGAATGTGGTCCCCGTGACGAGCAACAGTACTTGTAGTTTTACAGACTTTGCAAACATTAGTGTGTCACATAATACTGGTGATCAGGAAGCAACAGGTAGCAACAAGGCATGATGAGTGACAGCTGCCTTCCCATATCAGTTTGTTTCTGAATACCAGTAGTGTTTCTACTTTCATTCTCCTCTGTTCCGTCCTCTTGACCTTTGAAGGAGCCCCACATTGATGCTGAGACATTCAAACAGCGCATAATGTATTCTTACTAGAGGTCTCCTCAGGACCTCTCCCTCCATTGACCCATGGGTCTCCTGAATTGTTTTCTTTTCTGTTAGTAAGAAGCCTTAGAGGAAATCTTACTGTGGCCCTGAAAGCTGCATTTTTTTTCAGGAACAGGAACGGAACAAGGATGTTGACACTCTGCCAAAGTGGATTTTTTTTTTTGTAAATGAGGCAGAATTTGCCACCATTTGTGTTTAGGATGTAAATTATTTTTGAGAGCTTTCCAGGTCTCCCGCAGGTTCAGAATGGGAAGAGAAAAGACTCCTTTTGATCAACAGATGATTGAACTGTTCGTCTGGGGAGTCAGCCTAACTTCTGCTAGAAGGGCTGGGGATGTAAGAGCACAGATCTGATGTGATCACAAAGGTGCTTCGTGCGGAGAAGGGTGGTAGCAAATCTGAGAACGTTCTTTTGGAGGTGGTTGTTGAATGGCTCCTCTTTAGCCTCTGGACCACCTGCTTTACTGGCCTATTTTCTTGGCACCAGTGTTCAGAGAGTTCAGGCTGTACCACTGCAAACAGAAAAGTGTGTTTAGTATGCCATGCACACAAGTATCTCTTTGCACCAGTTCTTTGGCTTTCCTTTGTTAAAGGCATCAGAAACTCAAAAGCCCTTTGGGATGAAAGGGAAACTTTCTTTGAGGTGGTCCAAGCCCCCTGGCAAACCATCTGAAGATTTCTAGCAGCTTTGTCTCAGGTTGTTTTTGAGGCAGGAGCCAGTGGCAGCACAAGGTCCTGTTTCTTACTGTGCAAAGGAGCATTATCATGCGCACCACAGCAGATCCTGCTGTACTCACTGAATCCTAATGTGGTTGCTGGGCACAGTCATTAATCCTTGCCTTTTACAGAGGGAACTAAGCGAGCCACAGAGGAGGATGAAACACTTTTGAGGAACTCTTCTGAGCAGGATTTCTTTTTCCTTAGGTCCTGCTTAACTAAGGGTAACCGAGGATAAATGAACAAAGGGTATTTCATTTGAGCAACACTTTCTTAAGGAGAAAGGAGTAATTGACCTGCAGTTTTCACATTTCACCATAGACCAGATGCAGCAGGACTGATTTCCAGACACTAAGATCAATGGGAACCGCAGATGCTTGGTACTTCACCAAATCAGGTCACTGTCACCTTCTTTTCCCAAACGAAGGAAGGGCCCTGAGGCGAGTGTTAAAACCCACCATTTCAGTAGGAAACATTCATCCTGTGTTATTGATTAAAAGTTTAGGGTTCCTCTTTGGAAACAGATGGAAGGAGAAGGGCTTCCTATTGGACTAAAGAGGTAAAAAGAAGTGAGAGTGTTGCTGTGGAGGCCTTTTGGGTCATTTGTCTTTTTACTTATCCTCATTATCTGTGGTGTGCAGCCTGTATCAGAGTCCCCTGGTTCAGTGATGCTGTTAGACTCATTTGCAATTTCTGGCTTACAGATACAGCCTCATCCCCCAGCAAAGCAACAGAAGGCTTACCAGGAATGTAGCCATGTGTGAGACTCCATTCAGAAACATGTAGTCAGGAAAGTAGAAACTGAGAAATTAGCTCTGTTTGGTGTGTAATGATTTAACTGCGCATTTTGCTAGCACTTGCATTTACAGATCACAGAAGGTTCTACAAAAATCACTAAACAACTTTCCTTCTTCCACAAAGGAAAATACCATTAGCCATATTTTATAGCTGGAGGAAAGTGAGAGGTTACTGAAGGTGAGGGAACTCTCTGGGTTAAAAACGTTCAGCATCCAAGATGAGGAATTAGGACAACTATCCCTGGACAGCTGCCTAGGGACAGCTGCAGGATAACCATGAAAAGATATTGGTTCCTCAGTGTGTGACCTTGTCTGCTGTTTGTTCAGGTCATTGTCCTCTGATGGTTTTCTCAGACTGGGCACAAATGACCGGAGTACTTTGTCTTATTCTGTTGATGCCGGATACTGAAGTACATTTCATAGCATGGTGAAAAGCTGAGACACAGGCAGAGTGGGACAGGAGGAGAGGAAGGATAGGAATGAACCTGAGAGAAGGGATGAGGGCTGTATTATTATATATGTTACACTGAGTCATTGGTGGAGGAGCTGTGATGTTTATATGTCTCCATTGGCATGGTGGCATTAACATGTAAGAATGATGTGGTGAATCCTAAGGACAAACAGATGTCTCCTCTAGGAATACATTAGCTGTTTGTCCTCCAAGAGTCTCCTTGTGAAGGACTTGAAACTATGATGTAGGGTGCAACAGCTCCTCCTCTCGTTTCGCTCACTTGAGCTAATTCAAGTGTTCATTGTACCTTTGGCACTTTCTCACCAGCTTCCTCAGCTTCAGTGATTAGACAGGTCAACATGAGATCCATCAAAACTGTTCTGAGCTGGAGTGCCAGCCAGGTGGGTGGGTGGGCTAATCAAGAGTGGGGCAAAAGCTGTAAGAAATGGTTTCATCGGGCTGTATTGCAAACCAGGGAGAAGCAATCAACTAAAAGTTTTCTAGGGGTGCTCTTAGCCTAGACAATACTCTATTAGAGTCATAACTCTTTATAGCTGTTGTGTGGCTGTCCCATTATTTTATATACTGCCATGTAAGAAAGTGTATATCTTCCTAAGCCACCCTGTCTCCTCATTCCGGTGTTGTTTCTACATGTATTTTCTTCAAATGCCTCTTGAAGGTCCCTCACACAGATTTTTTTTTTTTTTTCTTTTTCTCCCCAGGGTGTGGGCAGGTTCTTCAGGCTTCTAGAGGTCAGATTTTGCTGGAGGGTTACCCACTGAATGCACGATGTGAATGGACTATTCATGTTCAAGCTGGATTTAACATTGAATTAAGGTAGGTCATCCTGACTTTTAGCCAGCACTGGTTTCAGGTGGACACTGGGGCATGTAGATAACCAAGAGTCAATGAGGGTCAACAGCTGGGAGCCCTGGGGCAGTGAAGGTACTCAGCTCTTTCCCCTGGTCTAGCTTGTGATGGGCAGCCACTGCACAAATCACCAGTGCTGTGCCTTTAGTTCCCATTTAGGACAGCTGGATGCTAAGGAGAGTCTCTCAGATATTCGGCACAATGTATCTCTCTAGAGGGCTCTTCAAGACCTTGACACTAAAACACAATATTTTCTGAAGAGTGTACCAGGCTGAACGAAGACATTCTGTGAAAAAAAGCTGTAGGAACACTTTGATATGATGTCTCATGCCAGGAGAGAGTTGCCCATGGGACCTGCCTTGCATTTAAGCCTACATTTTCCCTCTCTTATTTTTCTTTCACTCATTTTACCAGCCCTGTCCTCTACAAGCCTCAGTTATTCCTTTTACCATTCCTACGTCTGGCGGATGTGATTTGTTCTCCTGCAAGTCATTGCTCCTCTGACCTGTGTATGCTTAGACCTGTTAACCCGTCCCTGCTGACTCAAGCTCAAGTTCTTGAATGGGTATCCTGTGTAGTGCAGGAGAGCCCCTACTTGGGGTAGTTAATACAGTTTTCATGTCTGCGTAGCAGGGAGCTCACACATGCAGCTGGAAGCTTGACAGGGGATTGTATTCAAAACCTGCTAGCTAATATAATAAAACCAGTAGCTAAAGCCTTCACATTACCAGCTTTGGAGCCCAGGCAAAAGAACTATGCTAGATACACAAACAGATTTCTTCCTATGTGTTTAAAGTGAGACTTAATATTTAATAAGAGGAAAAGAAATCAGTTGAGTAGAAAATAAGAGCTTGTGGCATTCCCTCACTAATGCCCTTTTTTCAGACTTGCAAATGCAAGCCTATTGTGTAGTTATGAGGAGCAGCAATTATTGCCTGGATAGCGTTGGAGCCTCTTGACTCTGGAGAAATGTGTGGGAGACACAGGGGAGCAATGCTGTGAGGAGGAGTTTTGTGTTCTCGTGACACAACTTTGCATCAGTCTCAGCAGGTATGAGTTGTACCTACCTTGTTTTTAAAAGATTATGTTGGCTAGGTGTATGATTTGCACATCACAAGCTCAGGGAGGTGTTAACCTGGTATTTTTACATTTCTGAATGAGGCTTTGTCAATTGTAAGGCTAAAAAAGTGCTTCAGGAGCTACAGGTGTCACCCTGTCTTCACTTTTATTGGGGTGGGTATGACAGTGGAAATGGGTCCTGTGCATGCACATCACTAGTGAATGCACCCATCGCTGGATAAAGAGTTGGCAGACAGGTGGCACCAGGCACAAGGTACAAGAAAGGGAGGAAAGGCTATTTTAACAAAGGACCCTAGATAGAACAGCAGTACTTGCTGTGGCTGCGCTAAGACGACTGCCCTCCGTTTTCAAGGCAGAGGAATGGGGAGTGCTGTAAGGTAAGCTAAACAGATGTACTAACTCTTTGGAGAAATCAGACCTCCGTTCTAGCCTTGGAGAAGTCAGAGCTCCATTCTAGACCCTGAGGGCCACTCGCATGCTAGGAAGATGTTAGTGTCATGTGAGATCTGTACAGTTCACTCCGTTTACCTTTGCTATTACCAGAAGATACAAAACTAACATGGGGAGCATCGTGCAGAGAGTGCTTTTCTCTTTCTCCCTGTGTCCATGCTTCCTACAGTCAAACAAACACAATACTAGGCATCTCGTTGTTGTGACATAACATTACATTCCAACTGTGAAAGTCTCCAAGAGGGAAGCCTGAGCGGTAGCCAACCTTCTGTTGTCAGCAACTACATTTATCTGAACTGGGTAGCATTGGAGAAGCCTAAAGCCCCGTGCCCAGCCTGAGCTGAGCTTGATGTCTGGGTGCCTAAAGATCCCAGCAGATAACACGGCACTTCTAGGGAAAGATCAGGAACAGTTCTGAATGTCCACACTTAATCCTACCACCCTGCAAATAAGGAGACATAGGAGGAAGCCTCCAGGGCAAACACAGAACATGAGGACCTGTATCTACCTCGCATAAGGTAACCCCAGGGTGTGTTCTGAATCAGCTGAGGTTTTCAAGGTGGACCACCTCAAAGTTGGCCACTGAGGTACTTCAGCAGTTAGATACTGTGGAAAACTAGTACATTTAGCCTAAAGCTTCTCCTTTAGGCCATTCCTACACAGAAGGGCAGGTCACCTAAGCAGGCCATCAGAGCCTTCCTCCTGGGTATGCCATCCATGCTGTATCATTGCCTTCACTGCATTTTCATATAAACACGCTGATCCCCTTTTTGGGTGCTAACTCTGCTTAGAGCTGTAATGCACAGCCAACATTGTGCTGAATCAGCACAACTGCTAACAAAAGAACTCCTTTGTTCATTATCCCTGTCACAAATCCTGTTTGCTGCTGCTCTGATGGCTTGTGAGGGCAGGGGTGGGGACAGTGTGATACAGAAGGGGAACAAAGTGATTTGTCTCTTACATGGGCAGGAAGAGTAAAACTCCTAGGAGCATCGATAAATCTTCCCTTGCTTCAAGCTGTGCCACACAGTCCTTTGGGGGTTGGCTAAGCAGATCTGTTTTGAAAAAGATTTGTACCCAGATTGTGGTGGTAGTTTGTTTTCTCTGCTGTTTCCAGCCTTGTTTTTCTTTGGGTTGCGATGTATAGGCTCCCTCAGCCTGAGCCATGTCAGGGATATACCACAGTAGAAGTAGCTCACAACTTTCAATCACTTTCTTTAATGCCTCAGCAGAGGTGCAGTTTTAAATATTTTCCTTTGGTTAGAAGCTTTCCTCAGAGGGTTGGTAAATGTATTCACACTGTAGACACTGATGAAATCAAGACAATACTTTGCCTTCCATTTTGTATCTGATGACCTGTGGCACTAAACTAGCATGCGTAGTTTCATAATATCCAAGAGAATTATTATATAGTTACAGTTTCACAGCTGACAGAACTGAGGTTCATTACATTGCCTGTACCTGTGATTTAAACAGCAACAGACCTTGTGGTCTGTAAAGGGTCCCGTCAACTGGGCCATAGCCAAGAGATTCTGAAAAGCTTTGGCTGGTTTCCTGACCTGCCAATTCTGAGTCTTAATCATGGGATTCCATGTCATCAGTACAGTCTATCTGCTTCTATGCTAAGTTAAATAAAATGCAAATCAGCACCCCCTATGCCTTTCACATCTTCCACACTGTTTTCATAATTTTTTAAAGCAGAGAAAACAAACAATTAGAAACAGTATTCTGTGTATGGCACTCTCATTCTGTGCCTTCAATCTGAGTATCTCTTGATATTCTTTGTTCAGGAACACACTGCTAGACAGAGTTTACCTTTACATATATTAATAATACTGCTCCCATTACATGGTGGGCATCCCAGGAGCTTCCCTTCTGTACTTACACACGTACTTAATTTTAATCAGAAATGTACGAGTTCAGAGAACCAGTAAATGTTTTTAGGATTGAGTCAGGATAAACTGTAGCCTGATAAGTGTGACAAGGATGAACGGGTTAATTTCTGTTGCTCTATAACTTCCATAAGCGTTACCCTGGGGTATGATCTGCCAGTGAAAGAATGTTTTGAAGATGTAGTGTATAACCTGATGCCTATGAGGATGTCTCTGACAAACCTGACAGAACTAGAATTCAGCTCATGCATTTTATGCAAAGCTAAGTTGAATTAATCTCTGTGTAATGCATATTAAAAGCAGGTGTCATTTTTTTCTTATTCTATGTTCCACTAGATGATTTAAAAAATGAGGGGCTCCGCTCCATTGGTGTAGCTTCCTACAACTGCTCATTCATATCTCTATGTAGTGTACTCCTGATGCTCTAAAACCACCCATGTGACCTGAACAAAGGCGACTGAGTGAAGAGGCCTCTGAAGTCAGCTCATGAGTTGTCAAAGAAGGGTCATTTCACATAACATGGGGGCCTCCTTAACATGGGGGTGTGAGTCCCAAGAAGAAAAGAGCAGGAAATAGGCTCCAGTACTCTCTTGCCTCTTCAGACTGTGAGATCCAGCAGCAGAACCAAAGTTTGTCTTGCCTCTTTGGTGTGAAAATGCAGTTTTTGCAAATCACTAGGCCCACACTGGAATAAGCAATGTGGGAGATTTAGCATAATCCTAAATACACGTCTGAGGCTTTAGGAGTTCTCAAGAAGACTTGAGTATGCAAAAAGTTTCATTTATAAAATACTCAGCTAACAGTTAGTAGCATGGCCTCTCACAGGCCCAGATCTTCTCATTCTTATCTGCTGTACCAAGGCTGGGCCCAGGACCCCTGGCCATTGGTCATTCTCCAGAGGCACTCTTTCTCATTCATATTCTGGTGGGATGCTTTGGCTCTGTGCCCCACTGAATTCAAACAGCAGCATATAACATTGCTGTTAATGAACAAGTGCCTCGTGCAGTGGCTGGATCAAAGCTAGGAAAGACAGACATTGTGAGAAAAGGCTTTAAATATTTCCCTTCTGCAGTGACTCCTGTCCCTTATTTCTGCCCTCAAAAGAACAGCAAGTGCCAGACATTGGGGATTTACTACCATTTTGCTTTCTAGTGCAAAATGTGCTGTAGTGTTTTGGATTCCCTTTGTCTACCTATTTCTGCTTCTGTTACATCCCCAAGCTTTCCTTGTACCCCTAATTGCTGACTTCTGAACATCACAGTGTAAATAGCTTTTGAGCCTTGGTCTTTGATACTGTTACATTCAGTACTTAGAACTTTATTTAGGGGAAATAGAACAATTTTTAGCAAACAGCCATGATAGAAATATGCCTCCTACAGTGTCTGACCCTAGATGAAAGTTCTAACATTGTAGTGTGGTTAGGGACCTGATGCATGTGAACAGACTGTATGACTCCAATTTAGACTTCACTGTTCTGCCACTTAAATATTCTCATGGAGCACTGTGTAGAGTTGAGCTGGCTTCCAAGGATCATGATGCAAAAATTGAGATGAAGTGAGGGGGACTTCCTGTGATTAGGGACTTGTTGATTCATTGAAGGGGGGAGGCACTAACATAACTAAACATCCAAATAAATCAGAGTCAGGGTGCACAGGTAGGAGTATGCAGTCTGACTGTGAGTCCTTGTTCCCCAAGATTTTCCATGCTGAGCCTGGAGTTTGACTACATGTGCCAGTATGACTATGTGGAGGTCCGTGATGGGGACAATTTGGACAGCCGAATAATTAAGAAATTCTGTGGAAATGAGAGGCCGCCTCCCATCCAAAGCACTGGGTCTTCACTCCATGTCCTCTTCCAGTCTGACGGATCCAAGAACTTTGATGGATTTCATGCTGTCTTTGAAGAAATTACAGGTAAAATAATTCAAAAGTGGAACATGCCACTCATTCTCATTAATTCAGTTTCACTAATCTCTCTCCCTGTTTTGCTTCATTAAAAACTTTCATGCTGTGTTGCCAACAGCAACTTACACAAAGTCAGTGCAGGGAAGATTCAAAAGCCGTCAGATGGCATGGGAATATGTAGCTCCTCTAACAAAGACTGAATTCCTTCTACCTGTGTGAAAAACAAGCACATCAGCCAGCACAGAAAAGCTGCTGTTTTGTGAGACTTTTCTGTTTGAATCTGAGAACTAAGAACACAGAAAGAAATAGAGAAAGGGGCATGTGTATCTGCAATTGCAGAATTGCTCAATGCTGTGTGCAGGAGCAGAGTCACTGTCTCAATTAGCAAAAACCTGATGCAAAGCCTCATAATTAGCTCAGTGAAAATGCCCTGACATGACTTTTGTGTTGGCTCACGTATCATACTGTTAGGGCTTAAAAATGAAGTGTGTACAAAGGACAGATGATTTTCCTTAAGAAAAAAAAAAAAAGAGGCATTTCCCATTCTGTGACGAACTCAGTGTTATGAATGACAGAAGCAGGGCTCCAGAATTCCTGTTTTTATTAGTACTCAGTCCTTGAATCCCCCACACTGCTTTCCATCATTTTCTTCTGGCTGCAAAATAACATTGAAAGTGTAGCTGGCTCCTCATGTTGCCCTTGCATTTGAAGCAGCTGCTATGCTCTTCCTGGATCTTCCTTGTTTAGCTATGTGGGGAATTTTGGTCAAGTCTATCCACAGTACTCCTGGCACAGAAGGCTAATCAGAGTGTGCTGCTTTGCCATAGATAAACCCTGCAGGATCTATGACTCACCATAACTTGCCTTCTGCACACCATGGTGATCCACATTTCATGAGGTCATCCAGGGTATATCTGGCTCAGGAAGTTTAGTTAGTTTATATAATCCTTATATAAATCCACAAATCTACAATGGATCAGCTGTTAACAATGATAAGGGGTGTAACTAGCAATTTGAAATGTGCATACTGCTGGATGCAGTGCCTATGCCATTTCTTAGCCTGCCCTGTTCTTCAAATGTTACCTTTAGTATCTGTTAGTAACATAGCAGGAGCAGTTAGCTATTTATAGTTCACCTGGGCTTACAGCAGGAGAGATGATATAGAACAAATGAATGTAGTGTGGGCTATGTTGCATAAGGGCTGCCTATACTCGGGGAACTAACATTTTCCATATGGTGCAAGCTGAGTTGATTCTGTTTTCTCTGCCCAGCAGGGAACACTTGGTATTTGAATACTGTCGAGCACTTTATTTCCGCCCCATTTTTAGTGGTAATTATTCTGAAGCTGGGTGGCTGCAAGTGTGGTAATCCACACAGAGCACGTTGCAAAGGGCTGCTTAGAGTTTGTGAGGGGGTCTTATTGTGCAGTTTATTTTGAAGCTTTTCTGGCCTAATGTGCAGCTGTAGTGAAAGGCTTTTAAAACACTCCCAGTGTCTTTTTATGTGAAACATTAACCTGGCCAGCAGGGCGGCTTAGGGGAAGAATACAGCATGCATTGAGCAGTGTTGAATCGAAAGTGGGGGCAGCACAGGATCGATAGCTCTGGCAGCACATTGCAAACTGAAACATTTCCCCTGAAATTTCCCTCTGTGCACAGCACTGTGGAAAATCCAAGGTCCCCGAAACAGATTGCACAGGGCTTGCTAGAGCAATCCCCTGTGCTGCAGGTGAGAGGAGCAGCAGTACTTGTGCTTACAGGATGTAGACCAGGCCATGGAGGTGATCTGATGTGCCCAGCACCTTAGAGGTGTAGTGGAGAGGACTGAAGAAGTGTTTTGTGCTGTTAGAACTGAATTACTTCCCTTTCTGTCTTCCCTTCCTTTGAGCTCTGTGCTGGCTTATAAGTCATAGCTTGCTGCAGTGGCACTGACTGCACAGAGGTCACTGGTTCGAGTGCCAGAAAGGTTTTGATTGATACAAAATAAGCTGCAAAGCCTATATCCCCTTTAGGAAAGGTCACTGCATGTGTCGTTAGTAAAGGACGAAACCACACAACCTGCTGCACTGCCGGGTCTGGAAGCAGGTCCCATCCCATGCCAAGTGTCAAATGGGAACCAGTAATTGGCATGAGTGACTAGAATTCACTCAAAAGACTTTGGGTGAGAATGATGGGGAGCCAGATGGGGAAGCATCAGTGCCTCTTAGGGATTAGACATATGCTGGATCTAGAGAGATGAAAGCCTGTTACTGAATTTCAGTAATGCTTTACTTTATGTACCCCGAAGCCAGTGACCTTGACACAACATAGGGACTTTAACCTTTTGTAGTGCTGTCCCATGTTGTTTGACTGAAGCCAAGAAATCAAGACTCCTTTAAAAAGAAAAATATTTAGTGCTCTTGAGTGTTGGGCATTTTCAAGGACAGTATCTGGCACATATCCTTGTTCACTTGACATGCTTACTTTTGCAGAACCATGAGACAAAGCTGGGGCACGGACAAAGCTCCAAGTTCACTGCCTCCACACCAGTGACTACAAAATATCAGTCTGTACAGGCTCTTCTGCTTCTCCTTCCCTTTCTCAGTGATATTTTACGTTAGTTGGATAAAGTACAATTGCCACATATATATATTCCTTTTAACAAATTAATTACTGTCCTTAGTCAGACCTTAGTCTTTAATGAGACCTGGAAGATAGTCATTGCCCAGCCATGTATGAATTGCTGTTACATCACCACATGAAACCTCCAGAGAAATCCATATGTCGCATCTATATATTTCTTGTCTCTTGCCATCTGGATATAAGACACTCAAAGATTATGCTTCAAGTGTAGTCTTTGCAAGGAAAACTGCTGATTCTGATATCTGTCATTCTGGGCTGCAGCAGAGAGAATGCTTTAAATGTAATAGTACACAACCTCACCATAGGTCCTCCAGGACTGCTTGCTTGTGGTTGCAACACTCAACGGCTGCTACAAAGATTTATATTTCTGTTACAACCAAAGCAATCAGTGTATTTAGCATGGAGGACAAAGATGATCTGTAAATTAATTGGAATGCAGATCTTTCTAGCAATTATGATTTCAAAGTTTAATCCGTAAGTTATCAAGCATGCTTGGATAATTCTTTAATATGGCAAGGAATATGTTTTGTAGTCAATGGGAGCTGAAACTGAACTCAACTTCTGGTATGGATCCAGATGTGAACTTTGCTGCAGAGTCTTGTTTTGTTAAGATGGACTTGAAGCAGAGCATCAGATCCTGAACTCCTCAGGTGTTGGAGTTACTTGAATCTTAAACTGGATCTAAATCTTGAGATTTTGTCTCTACTTTCTGTCTGCTAAAACCCACACTCAGTTTGGAAAAGAGTCTAAGTGGAAATGATTTCTTTGTATTTTTGAGAACAAATTATGTTCTACTTACTCATCTCCCCTTTGAGCAGGCACAAAAAAAAGTGTGTTATTGCACAGTGGAATTTGCTTATATTAAATGGTGCAATTACACATTCTTATATTAATTTATGCTAATATGTAGAGTTTGATGTCTGTCACTGCTAGATTTGTGGTGTACAAGAGCTTCCCTGGCAGACTTAGGGTCATTATGACCTTTCAGACCTTCCTGAACCCAACACCAAAAAGTGTTCCTGAGGGCCAAAGCAACTCCCAAAGTCTGGGATGACAAGATCCAAGACCCAAAAAACCTGCCAGAACCATGGATCCCAGAACTTATCCCGAAACTCTGGGATGAGTGGCAGGAGAAATGTAGGTTGATATTAAACTTCTTTAATTTAAGGCTAAGCTCTAAACACTGTTGGAGCTTGCTGCAAATAATTTTTCTTCCACAAACCTTTCTCACTGCTTGACTACAGTTAAAGCAAAATGGTAAAAGTGATGAATGCTGGGAAAAGAATTGCCCATCCCTATAAGATCCCCTCTCCAGCAAGTAAGAAAGAAGAGCAGAAGGTTTTTTGACATGCATTAGGTCCTTTACTGTGTCTTCCTAACTGTTAACAAGAGTATGTAATTTTCCCCAAAACACAACCATATGAGGAAAAATAGATAGGACCCCCATCCTATGAGAGACCATGAATGTTCTTGCTTCTCTTTTATAGCTTGTTCTTCATCTCCATGTCTTCATGATGGAACATGCATTCTAGACAAAAGCGGTACCTACAAATGTGCCTGTCTGGCTGGCTATACAGGGAATCGCTGTGAAAACTGTGAGTACAGGCACTGTGTGTATGACCAGTCTCCAGGGTTGTCACCAATGCAGGCCATTAATTGTTAGGAGTGTCATTGACATGTAGGTTAGGTCAGTTACAATGCCAGAGAATGCACAGCTTCTTGTGGTATTTTTAGAGACATGTTGCTTGCAGTTTATGAAGATTTCCACTGAATAGTTCTGCAGCTTTATGTCTATGTGTAAAAAGGTAAAACAGAATTGGAGCTGGGAAACAGCACACAAGAAATCTCGCCATGGACTAGCCTTATCAGACAGAGATATACCTGCCTGCTATTTTCCGCTGTGTGGATCATCTGTTCTCTTCTAAAAGCACATACCCCAGATGAACCCTGCACTTGATGCTCTAGCCAGAGTCAGTCCTAGGAAGTTTGTCTTCCTTCACAGCCACCTGAAAGGTACAGTTCTGGCACCAAGAATGACAGAGACTTGTGACCAAACAAATGAAAAAGGGTAGATTCTGTCTATGTCTGTGTTGGTGGTCCTCACTGTACAGTCTTACACCTGGTTTTGTCCTGTAAAATAACTGGGTTCAAATGAGTTCAAATCAATTGTCTGTTCGAGTGATTTAATTCTTCATGCTTGAGCAAATGTCTTCATCTAACAGGGCTTGAAAGAGCAAGAAGGAGTAAGAATTGTGCAATATATGCTATTATAAAGGCTATATCATCTCAAGGAGCGTTGTGCAATATTTAAAGTCACTGAGCTAGAGCTCTAGCTGACCCTGGAGGATTTCAGTAATACTAGTGAAATCCACTTGGGATCATATTTGGCCTAAGACAGAAAGCATGGCTTACTGTGCCCTGCTGTGGCATTACTCTGGCTGTAAGGCACACAATGCCTTGCCTGCTTCCAGCGTTTTCAATTCTATGTCAGAGCAGCCAATATATACCAAACCTCACTACTTCAAAATGTTTTCCCCACATGTGCCATTGTCAGGAGTGGATTTCTCTCCTGGAATTGCTTCTACCTCATCAGGGGAGATAAATCATAGTGACATGGTATCTCCTTGCATGGATCATTTTGAGATAAAAGACCTTTCAATTTTTACAGATCCAGAAGTAGCCCATAAGACTTGACTCTTCTCCCAGCAGACCAGAGGAGGGGTAGTTTTACATTTTCTGTAAGCCTGAAAAAGTTTTGGTTCTGAACAGCATGCCACATTCTGCCAGATTGCACAGATTCCTGGTATGTTTTCTGTAAGGAAGGGATTGCTGAAAATTGAGGGTTCCTGACCTCAGGGCTAATGTGGCTGGCTCTTCTGCTAACAGCCTCTTTCCTGTGAGTAGTTGTTTAGCAGGTCATTTAGGGACTGGAAACTCCCGAGCTCTTTGCAACTGCTCAGTGAGATTAGTTCCATTCCTGTCTTTAGGACAGAGTTAAAAAAAGGAAAAGATTCCTGTCTGGTTCAGAACCAACCTAAATTTCAAATTAATTAAATTTCCAGCAAACCTCAACCCTAGTTTTGGCAGGCTGTACACTACAGTCAAGGCAAGAAATGAAGCTCACATTCTTTTACTAGTTTTCTTTTGTAATTCCAGTGTAGAAACTTCACCCATGCAACACACACAGCTAACAACAGAGGAGGTAGTTGAAAAAAAATAGGATGAGACTTCTGTCTTATGTAAACAATGAAGGGTATAGGTAGTAACAGAATAAAAGGGAGGAGACCCTTAAAAATATATACAGTAAGATTTTTGACTTGGCAGGAATCCTGTAGTTTGATTAGTGAAAGAACAGTTTAAGTGGATAAAATACTGTTACTTTATATTTGCAGCTGTATGCTTGCCTTTCGCTTATGCTAGGAAATATTTTTTCCAGCACCTATATTGCTGCCTTCCATAACATAGATAAAGGTTGACTTTTTTTTCTTGTATGTGAATAGCTAACCTCACACTGGGAAAAAATCACGGCAAATCTCTGTTCTCTCTGGCTTCAAAGAAGTTTTTTCTTAAGATATTTCCTTCAGTTTTGCCAAAACGTATCCTAAGTATTTTCCAGTGTAGGGGGGGGAAAAGGCAGAAAATTAAAGTTTGATTTGTTTTTTAAAAGCAAAAGGAATAACTGGAAAAAATATCTGTGGCTGTAATTCTTTAAAAATTAGTCATGTAGTTTCCTGAACAGAATTGTAGTTTAAATGTTAAAGGGAGATCACGTCATGCTCAGAATTTTTCTGTCTGTTAGGTCTTGCAGCAACAGGGCCGTCTTGTGAGGTGGAGCCAAGAGAAATAAATTTATTTCTGCAGAAAACAATCATAAAATGGTCACTTTTGGAATATTGAATATGACTTTGGACACTATGAGGCTGATTATTTCAGTCTGGTTTTCTTGGAGCAAGTCGGGTGCAATCCCATTAAAGTCAATGGATTTATGTTGATGAAAAATAGGTATGAGAGAAGAAAATTAGAGCCCCTTAATGTTAAGTGCATGTAGAAGAATTGAGGTGGTGCAACAGAAGGTACCCAGAGAGATACAACCGTTTTGAAGAAATCCAATGGACATACTTCAGAGGAAGGGAGACTGTGGGTTTATCTCATTGAGGAATAAGTTAAGGCCAAATTAAACAAATTCAGTAATGGACATTTCATGTCAGAATCAGAAATCTTGTAAGTCCCTCACCATCCCAATGCAGCTGTGTCTTTTTATCTGTTACCAAGTTTAGATTTAAAGATGTAGGAATCACTATTGGAATTATGGGAATCACCTTAATGAGATAAACCACAAGGAACCTATTTTTTCCGCTGTTAAACTAAATTCCATCTATTTAACAGTATGATCAACATTGGTCCAGCTGCTTTCCTGGGGTAATATTCAACCCTAATTGCTCTGTCAGTTACAATTTGCAATATTAATAAAATAATTAAAGGCACAAGTTGCTTATAACTAGCAGTCTCTTTTCTACTATGTCTTCCAGGAAATAGTCTGTTTGTTTACAATTTGAGGGGCTAATACAGTGATTTGAAGGCTTCAACAGCATGAAGTGAAATGCAGGCATGTATCTTTCTAATGGCTGTTAATATTTCAATCAAGTCCTGTCTCAGGGCAAGAAATATTTTATCTTATTTATTTTATCTTATTATTTTATGTCTGATATCACTCCGGAGACTGTTTTAAAAAAAATCTATATGAAATTGTAAAACAAATGCTAACCAATAGAGTGAGATTTTTCCTTCTTTCTTCTGCCCTAAAACACAATAAAGACAAGTCCTAGAGACCAGCAACAAATACCTTCTTACACATAAGCATGCTTTGTTATGGTGATACAGTAAGTAGAGAAAACTAATTCCTATTTTAAATACTTGGTCTTCTTTCTGATCTTAAACTGAATTTGCAGTATACCCACATACCCCTCCCAGTGACCTCTTAGCCATGCTGTCATGGCTGAGGTCAAACTCAGGCTTTTCTGTCTGACCTCTGTGGATTTTAATGCAAATAATCCTGCAGAGACATTAAAAAAAAAAAAAACAACAAACCAGATTCTCTTGTTCTCTTAGCCTGCAATACCCTGAAACAGAGCAGCAACTTCCTCAAAAGATGCACATTAGGGAAAAAGTAACAAGCTGCCTAGTGGCCTCATCCTGGTGCTCTGAATGCTAAAAAACATCCACTCAGGTACCAGACTGTCAAGGAATCTGTACAGCATGACAACCACTTGTTTAACTCAAACTACGAATGGTGTTTTCCAAAGTCTCAGTGTTGAGTTTGCTTGCTGAAGATGCAGCTGTAGAGAGACGGTACTGCTGGTACCCCATGGCAAATGCTCTCCCCCTTGCTTGTCCTCCTCCTAGGACTGGGTGTTCTTACTCAAGAGTCCTCCCAGGGCTTGCTGGCCCCAAAGCAAGAGACCTTGACCTCATCCTGCCCTGAAATTTCCTGTACCTTTATTTCAAACAAAGCCAGGCGAACTAGAGTTCCTACGCAAATAAGAGGAACTCATGCTGAATGGGGAATTCAGGGCTCAGATCCGATTTCCATTTTTATTCTGTTTCTTGCTCTTGTCTGCCAAGAAGAAGAGCTTTGTTCTGCATCCTAATGAAGGGTCTAATCCAACTGACTAAGCTGTATAAACTAACTCCTTGCTGTAGCCTTTGATGTTTCTAGGGCTGGCCTTGCTATGTTCCAACAGGCCTCTCAATATAGCTTTCAGCTTTTTCCCCACTGCTGATATAATCCCTTTCCATCCTTCTTGGCCCCATACAACTGTGACTTGGGCTGGTTGTTACAGATGCCCTCACCCTTAATGGACTGACTGACTGATACTTAAGATAGGGAGAAAGCATTAACACTGTCCGACCCCCTGCTTTGTTCTGCTCTGGGAGAAATGAGCCCAGTTGTCAGTGCTTGGCATAGGCTAGACAGAATTTTAATCCCAGCAGAGTCTAGGATGAGGCACTGGGAAAAGGTTCTGGACATTAAACCTAGTTTTCTTACCTAACCATGGACATGTAATGCAAAGTCTTCTAAGGGAATGCTTGGAGTTTTTTTTAATTTTCTCAGAAAGATTCTCAGTAATAGGTTTCAAGGAGTTCCATAATCACTGTCTATAATCACTGGTATATATTGTGCCATTTGCAGCCCACATGTGTTAGACCATGCCTACACTGCACGATTACAGTGGAGAACTTCAGGTGTAACCAAATGCCCCTGAGCCCTTTCTTGCCACTCTGGCCTGGAAATCAGTCCTATTCCAGTTAGGGAAAATGTTCCAAAAACATGACTCTTATTTTCCCTACTCCTAGCCCTGCCATAGGTTTTTTTGGTTGGTTGTTGGGTTTTGCTTATTTTTTCCAGTGGAAAATAGCTTATTACAGCTTTTTTAAAGGGACAGAGTTCTTCCCCACTTGTGTCAAGGTGGCTTTTTTTGGTGGCTCTGTCAAAGAGAGAAGATTAATGCTACTCGCTCTCTGTCTTGTTTCTACTGTCCTCCGTATAGGCTTGTGTGTATAGGGTGGGAAATAAGAACCCAAGTCCTTCTGCTGC